GTGTGTGTGTGTGTGTGTGTGCGTGTGTGTGAGAGAGAGTGAGTGTGTGTGTGCGTGTGAGTTTGTGTGAGTGAGTGAGTGAGTGTGTGTGTGTGTGTTTATCAGGCATTGCACCTCAGTCTCTCGCAGGCGTCTGCGCAGCGTGTCGCTGGGGTCAGATTTGCTGTGCAGACGCTCCAGCTCTCGCTCCAGACGCTCTTTGGCCTGACGGATGTTCTGCAGCAGCTCCGTGGCTTCTGTGCTCGCTTTCACCGCCTGCGGGGTCAAAGGTCAAACACAGGCAGAGCTCATTAGAGGGGCAGAAGAGGAACTACATTATACGCATCATTCATGTAACACTTAGTTTTGGGTCAAGAGGTCAGTCTGTGACCTGTCTGAAGATCTGTCTTTCCAAAGGTACACAGCAAAAGATTCAAACTCAGTGCAGATGCAATAAGATTACTGAGGTTAAGGGGATTGTTAGTCTTTGCACCATGGGAAATCATCCTAACATACAGACTCTAGTGGCTTGTTGTTACAACATGGTGGATTAAACAATGCAATTAAACACTAAAGTCATATACTGTAATGCCTTATGTCTGAAGCATGTTAACATACAGTAGAATTAAACACAGCACCTTTGAGAGTTTATCCTGCAGCTCCTGGATCTTCAGCTGCTGCTCAGCGTTCGTCTGGAACACAGAAGCTCGTAAAGTCACTCTTATTTCACACAGCAGACGAGTGTGTAAGTTAAAACGTCAATGACAAGACAATGTTTCAAAGAGACGTTTAGCACCTGGACGGCGAGGAAAGTGCAGAGATGATCACACTGTAGTTTGTCTAAAAGTAGTGATGCACGATTTATCACTGACTATATCGGTATTGACCAACAGTTATGTTTTTATTTATGAACTGCATCAGTCAGACCAGGCTGATATGGAAAAGTAAAATAAAATAACATTGAAAACAATATTAGGGCTTATGCATTCCAGTCAGTATCATTTAAATACTATTATAGTTTTTATTCATATTTTGAATCAGTTTTTATGTTTACATTTTCCATTTTTATTTTAGCAAAAAAAAATTAATTTTGTTGTGTGTGTGTGTTTTTAATATAGATATGTCTATATATTTTATATCAATTTCAATTTTAGTTTTTGTTACTTCAAGATAATCAAGATAAACTAAAATAAAATAAGAAATGTTGCCTTAGCTAATATAAAGTAATAGTATGTATGATTTTAATTTTAGCTACATTTTTTTAAACAACAACAACTCTGGTTCCACTGCAAACAGGACTCCTAAAAAAGGTTGCCTAAAAAACAATGGTCCATCTTAATGATTAAAATAAAAGTCAGTGTTTCATCAGCACATCACATCTGAGATGTTTTGCACTGAATGAGAGTAGAATATCGAATTAAAAAAGTTATTTGGTCAACCATCCTGTTATTTGTGATCTACCCTGTATGTACAGCTCTCATAATAACATCAAGTACACTTTTAAAAGGGGTTTTCTACAAATATGTAGAAACTTTGAATAGCAAATGGAAATTTTCAGTAAAACATGGTGCTCGAGTGTGTAGTTTTAATAGATGAGCTTATCATCATATTTTATAAAAACATTTATTCATGAAGAAGTGTCCTCTCAAAATGAAACTACTTGACCGGAGAGAGATTTCACAGCATGAAGAGCGCAGTGAGCATCATTGAGGATGATTGACACCCACACCCACACACACACACACACTCACTCACACTCACTCACATCAACACACACTCACACTCACACTCACACTCACACTCACATCAACACACACTCATACAGACACACGCACACACACACACTCATACAGACACACGCACACACACACACACACACACACACACTCACATCAACACGCACAGACACACACACACACACTCATACACAGACACACACACACACATCAACACTCATACACAGACACACACACACTCACTCACGCACACACACACACACTCACACACTCACTCACATCAACACACAGACACTCACACACTCTCATACACTCACTCTCACACACACACTCATACACACTCTCTCACATAC